TTGAATGGTATGTGTCAGTTTTTATTGGCAGAGTTGAACACATTTTACTTGAAATTTGTCCTGTGGATGCCTCCAGAACACTACTTGGTCCTGCTGCGACTTGTCTTTTATGTGAATGTGGGAGGAGTAGCTATGAGAGAGATCTATGATTTCATGGACGATCCGTAAGTTATTTTTCTTATTTAAACTCAGTTGCTTTATTTTTAGAACTGGTGATGTTTCCTGCAAATTGTTGAGAAACATTGTTCACCAAAATAATGAATGAATCCATCTGTTATTTCAAGGAAAAGCATACTACCTTTTTTTCCAGGCATCAGATATATAATGCTTGACAAATTAACATTTCTGCTTTATTTTAACATTACTTTGCCGCATGCCATTTTCAAACATATAGTAGTACACAACAGCTGGAATGAAGTTTATGATTTGGACTAATTCGAATGCAAATAGTTTTTGCAGAGGAAAATTTCGGATAATGTTTTAAAAGCAATGTCATAGCCTGAGGATGTTGTTAAATCTGGATTTAGCCTAAAGATATTTGTAATCTTGGTTTTCTGACACTATAAAGACACATTACAGTTATTCATATTCTGTAGTAGTATGGCCTCGCTGAGCAATGCATGAAGTAAACACCTGCCTGCTTATTATTTGTTATTTCTGTTTGTTTTGTTTATCAAACACTAGAACACAAATCCATCTAATTGATTTTTGTTTTATTGTATTTTTGTTTTAAGTTTAGTGATAATGGAACAAACTGATTGACCCCACAACTTTTCAGCATACTGTTTTATCCCTGACCATTAGAGAAATGTCTGTATTTAGGATTCCAATACTTTATGAAGATCACTTGTTGGTCTTTGATTCCTAGAGCAGGGAAGAATGGCTAAAGATGATTACTTTAGTTGGATTTCAGGATATTGAGCAATGGCATTCAGACCATTCCCTGACCCCTCATTTTGGACCTGCTGATATGGAATATACTTCCTGCTTTGAATGCTACATTGAATGCTCTGCAAATGTTCAGATATTCAGATACACCACTATGCAGACTTTTCATGATATATTGAGAGGTATGGGTCAGGGGTTATTTTGGAAGTGGGGTTCAGATATTTTAAGGGGAAAATGTATATTTCAAGTATTTTCATTTTTTTCTCCTTCAGGCCATATTTTTTTTTGAAAAATGTACAAGAAAGGGGCTCAAGGCCTTGGCTTTACCCATTCTGGATGGGCTCTGGTGATTGTAAAGGAAGGATTGTAAAGGAATGCCAATAAGTCATACCTTTTTGCAGCCTGTGTCTTGTTTGCTATGTGGCACATAGGAAACACCACCATTAAAACAAGTATTTGGTTTGGTGATACAGAATACAAGGTCATATTTGGAGAAATGTGACAATCCAGTTCAGCAGGATTCTTTACGCTAGGAAATAGATTAAAGAGCTGTAGGATTAACATTCCTTGCTGTAGCAGTTGCTGTTGTTTCCAGCATTCCTTCATGTAGATTTTTCCAGGGCGGTGGTTTAAAACAGCAGAAACTAGATACGGTACGGAAAAACTACTAGATACTAGATGTAAAAACAAGGACCAAAAATCCTTGATTTTAATAATTTTCTTAGAGATGTCCTTCACCCATCCTATCATAAGTCTGCTTTGTAGGTATAGCAAAATGATCTGCCAAATTCTTTATTTATAATTAACCATGCAAAATTGGTGTACTTTCTCTTCTTTATTAAAAAGCTAAATTATTAATATAATAATATTGCAGCACGGTGAATACAGTGGTACCTTCGTACTAAACAGCTTTGGAACTCATTAAATTTGGTACGCAATGCATTTGTCCCAATATTCATCGTTTCTTTGGTACTCAACGCACAAGCTAGAAATTGTCAGTGTTGATTACCTTGTGACTCACTATATTATTCTTTATCATACTCATTGTTTGTTTGGTACTCATAACACCTCCTGGAATCTAATGATGAATACTTAGTAACAGTTTGTTTAAGAGGAAGTGTCTGTGGAACCTGTTTGTTGTTAAATCCCCACCCACTTCTATGTCCTTCCTTCCTTCCTTCCTTCCTTCCTTCCTTCCTTCCTTCCTTCCTTCCTTCCTTCCTTCCTTCCTTCCTTCCTTCCTTCCTTCCTTCCTTCCTTCCTTCCTTTTTCCAAGACACTGGCCACAGGGATTTAGAAACAGCCCTCCATGGAGCATCATTCCCTCTTCTAACTTTAGGGAAGGAATTGCTTTTTTCCAACTGTTGTCAGCAAAGAAATACAGGATGGGCCAGAAACCGTTTCTCCCATTAATCATACCTTTCTCATTCAAACTTCTGAGTATCTTCCCAACCTCCCAATCTTTATGCTGCTGCAACAGCACCCATCTGATAGATCTTTGAAGTGTCTCCCCTCTCTGCCTCCTTCCTTCACGAACATCCCTGTTATGAAATATGCACATACCCTGGTCAATCTTCCTAGCATTGTCCCTCTTGCCCCAGAACTTAAGCATGAAACCACACAGAAGCATAGAGATTTTGTAGGCTGTGGCAGGTTCGGAAGCGATGGGCGCTCACGCTTGTGTGCAAAGCGCGCATCCCTGCTATTCACACAGAAGCATCCCCTCTCCCTCCCCCCTCCAGGCCACCAAGCTGGAAAGGTTGGAGACCACTGTTGTAGGGGAAGCCATAACTACTGTCCAGATCTCTTGCTCAAGTAAAAGATTGGCTTGTCATTTTGGAATGCTTTGGGGAATTAAATGTCCATTGTAACTAAACCACTAGAACAAGGTTGGTTAATATACCGCATGTATATGAAATGTAGTTTTATCAACATAGAAATTTGGGTTACCATTCTGATCAACATTTGTATGATAAACGTTTACTGTTATTTATGGGATAGCATTTTGTGGACTATAGTCCACTTCGTCAAATCTTTTATTTCAGCCTTTGATTTTGGAGCACACTAGAGTCTGTCTGAAAAGCAGTTGCTTCTGAAGCTATTCTTCCTGGGTACGGTATAGAGAAGCATCTCAAGATAACATTTTGCTAATATTACTGAATGAAATTGAGATTAACTGAAGTAATTCAATTTAATCAGCAAATTTTCAAACTAATCCATGTTCTGGATTTGCCTTGTACATATATGCTATTTTGTTTTATTGCAGGAAATTCCATAAGAAGTTGGGTCAGCAAGCTTGGCTGGTTGCTGCTATCACAGCTACAGAGTTCCTTATAGTGGTAAAATATGATCCATACACTTTGACACTGTCACTCCCTTTCTACATTACTCAGTGTTGGATCCTTGGAATCATGCTCGTGCTTGCCTGGACAGTGTGGCGCTTTTTCATTCAGTAAGCAAAATTTGATTCTTGACCACCTAGCTAGGCCTGTAATCTTTAGGTTGTTTCTATGGGAATTTTCAAATACTATAGTATTTTCAAGATGCCAAAGTTGAAAGACTCGCTAATAGAAACTCACCTTCTTGTTGATTGTCAGGTAACCCTTCAATTAAGGGCCTTTAATAAAGCCTTAATTATAACACTACTTGCCCTATAATTCTAAAAGAAGCACTCTTTCAGTTCCCACTAGATCAGACATGTCAAACACAAGGCCCGGGGGCCGGATGCGGCCCGGGAAGTGGTTTCATGTGGCCTGCAAAGCCATCCTGGAAATAGTGAGGGAATGGCCCCCGCTGCCTTGGTCCTGGACCAGGCCGGCCAGGAGGGAGCCAATGTACAATTTTGTGGTGGCCATCTATGCTGCAACGCATTCAGTCTTAGCTCCACAAGGCCATCTGGAAACAGCGAGGAACCAGCCCCTGCTGCGTTGGCCCCGCCTCATGGGTGCATGCTGGAGAGATGTCACCCTTTGTGAGGAATGAAGAAATGCACCATCACCTGGAAGTGGCCAGCAAATGGCTCTGGCCTACTTCACATATCCGGCTTGATGGGCTCCGGGGGAGGGGTTTCGGCAGGCAGCTGGGCACTCTCCTCGCAGCGCTGAGAGGCTGAGCCGGGTGGCGTGAATCTGATGAGAAGTGCAATGCTGCCTAGCCCCCAGCCGGCCCAGTTTCAGCAGGCAGCAAGGTACAAAGTTGGCGAGCTTCACACCGCCCTGCTCAACCTCTGGGCACTGTGAGGAGAGTGCCCCGCTGCCTGCCGAGACCGGGTAGGCTGGGGGCTGGGCGTCGTCATGCTTCTTTTCGGATTCGCGCTGCCTGGCTCAGCCTCGGTGCTGTGAGGAGAGCGACCCACTGCCTGCCGAGACCGGGCAGGCTGGGGACTGGGCGGTGTCGCGCTTTTCAGATTTGCGCCGCCTGGCTCAGCCTCTCGGCGCTGTGAGAAGAGCGCCTCACTGCCTGCTGAAACCAGACAGACTGGGGGCTGGGTGGCATTGCACAGGTAACGTTGACTCTCACGCTGCTCATGGCATCCCCTCCCCCAGAGCCTACCAAGCGAGATATGTGAAGTAGATGAGGGCCATGTGCTGGCCACTTCCAGGCGATGGTGCATTTCTTCATTCCTCATGAAGGGTGACACCTCCCCAGCTGCGTTTCTTGCCTGTTTTTCTCCCTCACCTCAAATATTTTCCTACCACTCTACTTAGGAAGGAAGGAAGGAAAGAAGGAAAGGAGAGGGAGGGTCTGAAGGAAGTCCTGCCTTAGTCCTGCCCTGCTGCCCTTTCACCATCCCCTTGCCCCCTCCTCCTGGCCTATCCTGGGGGTCTCCCATCCTATTGCCAAGGAAGCTTTGGATACAAAGCCCGGTCTCTTCCCATGGAGAAGGAATGGGCCTCCCTCTGACTTTGCCCTCGTACCCATCATGAACAATCTGGCTAAGGAGAGCAAGCACAGCAGCAGCAGCCTTGAGGTAAGTGCAGCTGGGCGCCCCTTAGGAAAGTGGGGCTGGGCTTGGTGCCTCGAGGGCCAGGCTGGGCGTTTGACCTCTGCTGGCCCAGGGCTCTGGGCAGCCCGCACCACCATCCACCCCCCCACATGGCTGAGAGGAACAGTGAGGCTCCTCCAACGGACCATGCTTTGACACTTGCCCTGGTCCCACCCTCTTCTGCCAGAGACCCTCAGATCTGTCCCACTCTTGCACAGGCCCCCTCAGGCATCATTGATGCGAACGATGTAGAGCTGGCAATGCCCACCCCATAGGCCACACCCACTCCACCCATACCCACCCAGTAGGCCACACCCACCCTGGCCACACCCATCCGGCCCCCCAAGGGCAACCGCAATGCTGATGCGGTCCTCAATAAAATTGAGTTTGACACCCCTGCACTAGATGTTATTTATTTATTTATTAAATTTATATGCTGCACATCTCATCAATAAGAGAGAAAGAGTATACCGAACTAATCACCAAAATGAAATTTCTTATCTAGAAGATTTTTTGCTCTTTATCGAAATAGAGAAATGGACAGAAAGAAACCCCATGTTTGGCAGAATGTATCCCATCTGGCTATGCTCCCCATCTCTGAGAAAGGGCTACAGGATAACTTGCTTTGGATTCAGTTTCAAGGTGCCACATAAACATATTTTGGGGATCATAACCCTTTTATTGGGATTAGCAGCACTGGATTCCAGGAAAAGATACAGCTGCTTAAAGGTATTGCAGAGGGATGCTACATTCATTCTCCCACATGCCCTGAAGTACTTTTTTGGAGATCAGATCTGAAGTGCTGCCCAGACATTTCCGCTTTGTGTTAAGAAATCTCCGAAGAGTTGGGCGGGGCAAGGTGTTGTAAGTGGATCATCTTCCAGTTTGTTTATTTGGAAGGCTGTTTAAAACTTATAGCGCTTTTTAAGTAGAATTAAGAGGTGCTTGATATTCTCAAAACGTAGCTTACAATTGTTTGAGATAAATGAAAGCTACAGAGGTTTATTGCTTTATTTTTTAAAGAAAAAAACAATTCTTAACTTGCAATAGTGGTGAGTACTCCACAAACAATTCCATCAACAGACATACTGACCTACAACCAGCCTACGAACCCCTCAGGATCCAAATCAACTGCACAGCCAACCAGAGACAGCACCGACCTTCAACCAACCAACCCACGCAAGCTTCCCTCCTCCCCGAGCAGTTCACCTCCCATCGACCCTGACCTGATGTAACCTCCCCATCACAAGCCTCTCATTGATGACTCACACCTGACCCATCACAAGACCCATCATAGACCCTCACTTGACACACCCACACCTGAAGCCCTTATAAACAGAAGAACATTGACATTGACATCCCCAAAGCTCTGTCAAAGATGTTGCCTAGCCTAGTAATGAAACGTTTGGAAACCCACCCACAAGCTCAGAGAATGAACCTTCACATACACACACCCTAATTCTTAACTTGTTTTTTGTTTGTTTCAGTGACATCACCTTACGGTATAAAGAGATAAGAAGGCAAAAGCAAGAGCACAAATTTGGAAAGGAAAAGTATTTAAGCAATGGTGATGGACAGTCTATACTGGTAAACGAGTACCTGAAGAATAAACTAAGAGAGAAAAAACTTTGATCCTGAGTCATCAGTGAAGGGCTAAGAGGGTTGTTTTCTTGATTTTCAAGTTTAACCCTCCCTCATTTTGTAATTTTCAATGTTTTCTCATGTGTGAGAATCCTTTTGGAAAAGATGCCACTTAATCTCTTTGGAGGAAAGTGTTTACAACTTAACTGTAGAAGTAGTGCTCCTTCCACAAGGGAACCTCAAACAAACTGTGGTAAATGTGGGTGTCACCTGAGAAAGAGGAGGATTGGGGAGGCTTTAACCAATACAAAGGCTGCCTCCCCATTCTGGAAAACTGTTACCATTTGGGTCAACATGAACTTGATGATTTATTTGATGAAATAAATCGGTGCACTGTGAAAAGCAGTTTGATGTTTTCTGCTGAAACTAGTTTAAGCTATAGTGATAACGTCCGTGTTCTTATGATTCATTTAACAATACAGAAAAGAGGGATGCAACTGAAGTATGAGAACAAACTGCAAAATTTGCACAGTACACTACTGCAGCCAGCCTTTGAAAGTCCTGAATTTAGCTGCCTGGATCTCAAAGCAAAGGTGCTTTACTTTGAACAACTGGCTATTACATTACACTCTCAAATACCTCTTTGTTGACTGTCTCTTTAGGAAAGGCATCTCTTTAGCAAGGATGCTGATTAGCCAAATAATGAAAATGAAGACAAAAACAGGTAGAAATGTGTCCTATTCTTAGTCATATGAATCAAAGAGAATCTTAGTTTTATTCTTCTGCAAATAAGATACTTACTGTTCTTGCCAGGACTGTGTTTGGGTGTTGCTCCTCTGTTGAATAAACCAAAATATATGATATGGATGTTCAGAATCATTTTTTTTTAAACTTCTAGAATAGGGATGGGCCCAAGTGTCCTTTCAGATATTATCAAACAGCTCTCATCAGCCCAGCTAGCATGGCTACCTATGCTGGATGATGGGATTTGCCCATCTCTGTTGTAGAAATTAAGGCAGGAAGATTTATGGGCAAATGGTATGGACATAATCGGCCACTAAATGCTGATAGAAATATATTATCATCTCTCAAGCCTCTTCTACACCAAGGGCAGCAGCTGTCCTGCTTGTCACATCCTCTCAAAATAATGTTTTGTTTTATGAACATCTTGAATTGTTTTTGTATTTTTAAAACAGCTAGATCAATTTAACTTACACAGGTAACACTGATTTTTATCTTAACACTGTAATTGGATCTCAAATAATTAGACTTGGGGGAATTTATTTTGAAATGTTTTATTGTTTGGACATGCATATAAGCTAAAATGCTATATTTCTACTTGCCTCTTCTCCCTGTACGATCTCAAAGTGCCGCTACTTAAAGCACAGTGCACAGACCTTGGCTCCCTTTTATGATAATACTTGAACTGCAAAATAAGTCTGCCCTTGCCTTGTTTCCAGGATACCACTAATATTCTCCTCTTAAACAATGGACGCTTTCAGGAAAAGAAAAGAAAAATCCATATAAATGAATGTTGAAAAGCTCACCAGAAGCCACAGGTTGAAATTCTTCATTGAGTACCTAGTACATTTCACTTTAAGATTTACATAAGTCCTTATCTGTTTTGTACTAGTAGATTCTGCCCCTCTTTGTAATTTTGTATTGTAAAGTCTTTCACGTAATTCTGGTGGTAACAAGTGCAATGGGGAAAAACTTGAAAATAATTTTGTTTGATTTGTTTTTTTTTGTTGAGGAAGTAATTGTGTAAAAACTGAAGTATGTGAAAAATACTACTTTAGTTTTCAAAATTGAAGTTGACTTACTCTCAAACCATTACTTTCATACTGATCTTTATGTTCTTGCAAACAGTCTTAAAATTATAGTATGGCAAACTGAACAAATGTAATAAAAGAGTATTTGCTGGTATGCTTCTGAGTTATTTATTTATTTAACTTTATTTGGGAAGGGAAGTGGGTCTCGTGCTCCCACCCATGTGGATAGTTTTACATACATACATAATTATCAGCTCAGATTTGCATTGTTTTTTCTTCTACCTCACCATCACCAATTCATACGTTATATTTGTTTTTTAAATTTCCCAGTTTTCTTTTTCAGAATCCCAGCCTGTCTTATTTCCTATTTAACACCGAACCATTTTAAGTACTTTATTTATTATTCTCATACTTGCTTTATTATATACTGTATTATAATCGTATTATACTAATAGTATACTGTTATACTATTATAATCGTATTATAATATTATACTATTATATAAGCTCCCACTATATTCAAAAACCAGCCGTCATACCATATTTGTGCAAAGTATTCTGTAATTCAAATCTATTTATTTTATTGCACGTGTTTTCTAATCCTCAAATCTATAGTAAATGTTTCTCACATTCATATATTTCTTAATGACCTGCTAAACAGAAGGGAATCTTCTATGCATATTCTTGCTGACATAAGCTATACAATGCTTATATAAAGCTATACTGCACTTCCTAGGGTTTTTTTTTTAATTTTGCCAGTCTCTATTCATGTTGGAAGATTAATCTCTTTGTTAATATTTTTCCATACTGGATGTGTACTTTCTCTTCTTTGATTCAACTTTTACTTTTTTTTTTTTTTGTTCCATGACCATTATTTCCCAGGATCCATTCTTGACATTACCTAACATAATCAGAATCAGAATAACAGTTGGAAGGGACCTTGTAGGTCATCTAGTCCAACCCCCCTGCCCAACAGGAGACTGACAGATGGCAGTCCAGTCTCTTCTTGAAAGCTTCCAGTGATGAAACTCCCATAACATCTGAAGGCAAACTGTTCCATTGGTTGACTGTTCTCATTGTCAGAAAATTTATCCTTATTTCTAGGTTGAATCTATCCTTGATCAGTTTCCATCTGTTATTCCTTGTCTGGCCTTCAGGTACTTTGGAAAATAGGTTGATCCCCTCCTCTGTGTGACAGCCCCTCAAATATTGGAACACTGCTATCATGTCTCCCTTGGTCCTTCTCTTCACTAGACTAGCCATGCCCAGTTCCTGTAACCATTCTTCATATGTTTTAGCCTCCAGCCCCTAATCATCTTTGTTGCTCTTCTCTGCACTTTTTCTAGAGTGTCCACGCTTTTTTATAGTGTGGAGACCAAAATTGGTTGCAGTATTCTAGGTGTGGTCTTACTAAGGCTTTATAGAGTGGTATTAGTACCTCACTTGATCTTGATTGAATCCCTCTGTTAATGCAGTTTAGGATTGCATTGACTTTTTTGGCTGTTGGCTCATATTTGATTGTCCACTAAGACTCCAAGATCCCTCTCACAGTTACTGCTATTAAGCCTGGTTCCACCCAATCTATATGTGTACTTTTGGTTGTTCTTGCCTAAGTGTAAGACTTTACTTTTCTCTACACTGAATTTCATTTTGTTAGATAGAGCCCAGTGTTCAAGTCTGTCAAGATCCATCTGAATCTTGAGCCTATCATCTAGGGCAGGGGTGTCAAACTGCCAGCCCGTTACATTATATGGAGGACGCATCCTCCCCAGCTCCCACAATGCAAAAAAAGTCACATCACATGGCGAGTTTGACACCCGTGATCTAGTGTGTACTCTCCATCCAGTGTGTACTTTGTGCCCACTATCCAATGTGCATCGTCCATGCAGTGTGCCCTCCATGCAATGTGTGCACCGTCCATGCAGTGTGTACCATACAGTGTGAGCCCTCCATTTAGTGTCTACTCTCAATCCAGTGTATACTTTGTGCCCACTATTCAATGTGCACCATCCATGCAGTGTGTGCCCTCTGTCCAGTGTGTACCTTCCATTCACTATGTGCTCACCATCCAGTGTTTGCCCTCCATCTGGTCTCAACTGTCAGTACCTAAGCTTCCATTCCCCATGCATCCCCTTGAACAGATCCCAAATTGCCGAGCCTCGCATCCCACTGACTGTCCCCGATTACCTGGGCCGCACATTCCCCCGACCGTCCACCAACTTGCCAGGGCTTCGCGTCTCCCCATCCAGACCTTGAATTGCTGGGCCTTGCATTCCCCCGCCCGGACCAATTTTTTCGGCCCTTGCATCCTTGCAACTGGCCTGCCACTTGCCTGGTCTTGTGTCTCACCGCCTGGCACCCGAATTGCCAGGGCTCGCATCCCACTGCCTGGTTTCATGTCCCCCCTCCAGCCCAACTTGCCGGGCCTCGTGTCCCCCCAACCAGCCCTGAACATGATGGGCTTCACGTCTCCCTGCCCGACTTGCTGGGCCTCACATCACCCCTACTGGACCCTGACATGCCGGGTCTCAGGTCTCGGGTCCCTCTGCTCAGCCCCCAACTTGCCAGGTCTCGCCTCACTCTGCCCAGTCCCCGACTCATTTCCTTTTTTCTTTTTCTTTACTTTTCAATTTCAATTTCATTTCCTTTTTCTTTATTCTTTTTTTTTCTTTTTTCTTTTTTTCTTTTCCTTTTTCTTTTATTTATGTATTTATTCTTTCTCTTTATTTTTCTTTTTTCTTCTTTTTTCATTATGTTGCTCCAAATATTCCAAAATGTCCGACATATTTGTAACATTGTCTTTTAACTGTCTTTTAGATAAAAACCCACAATAATAATTTCTTGTAAAATTATATTCAGTGCATCTATTAGAATTGTTGTGAACAAATTTTGTGTTACACCCAGAGTCACTTTTGGTGAGATGGGCAACTATACAAATTTTATAAACAAACAACTCATCATTATTCAACAATGATACTGGCCTATAGTTGCTTATTAAAGTCAAATCTTATCCCTCTTCAGGCATTAATACTATTTTGGCCTCTCTAACTCTCTGGCCTCTTTCTTTAGGATAGAGTTCATTGTGTTTTGTAAGTTTGTAAAAGTTCATCCTCAAAACATAAGAAAAAACTGATAATCCATCTGGTCCAGGGTTTCTTAGTTTAATCTTTTTTGTAGCTTTAGAAACTTCCCTTAGTGTTATAGGTTCATTCATAATCTGTTTCTGTTCTTCTGTAATCCTCAGTAACTTTTGTTTCTTTAGATATTATTCTATTTTCTCTAGAGAGATGTCATTTCCTTCGTAAAAATTATAATAATCTAAAAATCCAAATCTAAAACAGTCTTTGATAATATATCTACTTTAGAAACCTTGTAGTCAAATTCTTTGTAGGAAAATTCATGTCTATTCTTGAAAAATATTTGTCTTTCAGAAAAGTAGGTATTCAATCTTGAATTGGCATTTTCTGCCTTCACATATCAACCAGCCTTAAATTGTCCATCAAATCGAGAGAAAGTTTTGGTAATTTGTCTTGAGTGATTTTAATATTTTCCTCAGAAGTTCTGTCCAGTTGTGGGAAGATCACTCCATTCCAATTACCCATCAAGCATCAATTTCCGTAAGAGAAACCTATTAATCTCTCCATAAGTCATATAGAAAACAACACTTTGTCCTCATTTGGGGCACAGATTCCCAGTATCAAAGTCTTAGTCCCATGCAAATTAACTTCCACCCCAATAAATCTACCATGCTCATCACTTACCATAATGCAAGTTCTGGTTTTAGTTGTGGATTTTATATACAATACAAAATAACTCCATTTCTTTCTTTTCTTTTGTTCCTGCTGAAGTGAATTCTCCCAAATTTTTATAAATCAAATATTTTATGTCCTTTTTTTCAAATATACATCTCTTGTAGGCAAATTGTATCTTGTTTTAATTTTTCAAATCCTGATTTTGTACAGCCCAAGAGCAACATGGGAATTGCAACCTAGAGAAACCCCAACTTTCCATCCTATATGAGTTGATGGCCACAACATTCAATTTCGTTAATAATGGTCTTCCTCAGCAATGCTGCTGCTCCTGAAAGACCCATGTTGCCTAAGAATAGAAATAACTCTGGATAAGGGACAAAGATCTGCCTACCTTCCCCAAACTGGCCAGCAAATCAGATGCCTAGGATTTCCTGCCTTGAAGCCCTTAACTTGTATTTAAAACTTTGCTTTCCCACGGTTTGGGGTCCTTTTTCCTTGTAAAGTAGGTACCCAACAATCATTGCAATAAACATGGTTCTTCTCAATATTGTGTTCTCTGTGCTTCTGTATTTTCCACAACATGAGGGCCTTAAATAATTAAAATTCCAGTGCTCAAACAGAAAGTCCTAAAAAAACCAATAATATAATAAAGGTGATGTAAGTAATGGTACGTGGGAATCTTTTTCACAACCTGAGGAGTTAGGAAGGTTCATGAGTTTCTTGCTTTGTCCATTATGCAGTTGTGGGCTATGTCCTCTCTTACATGATCATTCCCTAGGCAGCATCTCTTTCCCTACCAAGATCATTCCAACAAACCATTATAAATCATCAGGAAAAAGATAACTTAACCTGCGGCAGGAAAATGCACAGTGCAAGAAGAGACTTGCCCAGTTTACTGGACTGTAAAGGGGAATGGGGCGAGAAAATATACTTTTATTACTTTTCAGCATAATGTCTATGGAGATTCTCAGTCATCCAGATCATGGTTGTCCGAAAGGTGCTTTTTCAAGAGGCAACTGGACTTGCTTGGTTTTCTTTGAAGTTATTTCGCTTCTCATCCAAGAAGCTTCTTCAGCTTCAGTTTTTCAGCATACCCTTAAAGTTTAATAAATATGTCTGTTGTCCACCAGGGGGTAGTAGTGTACAACTATTCAAGAAACCAAATAATTGGTAAAAGAAAACTTCTGGGTACCAGCAAAAAAAAAAATGTTACAAAATACATGTTTTGGGGAAGCCTAGGCTATAGCTGTAAAGAATCTTTCCATTTCAGAAATTGAATTTAAAATAGATTAAAATCTTATATTCTAGCCAAACAATCCACATTGTTTCCACTAAAGGTAGAAGGAAAGACTGGAAAAAAATCAGGAAGAATCTGATAGCACCTGTGCAGACTAACATATTTT